CACACACACACACACACACACACACACACACACACACACACACACAAACACACACACACACACACACAACAACTTACAGGTGGAGGCAATGGCCCACGGATTGCACAGGCTCGATGACGGGCTTGCCACCTCCAGGCCCAACACATACAACACTTCACTAGGCCAGCTCGCAAAATCCAGGCACAAAGGCAAGGGTGGCTTGGCAGGTTAGAAAGGCATCCATCCATCCATCCAGACCATCCTAACACACACAGAGAATGGACAGATTCAGGTAGGCGAACAGAGACAGGGTTCTGCAGCAAAATACAAACAAAAAAAAAAAAGAAACGTTTGTACAACAGACAAGCGAACTCCATGCAATAATAAAAGTTCAGTGCACATGTGGCCCAGAGACAGCGAAGGCCAATAAATCACACTTGTTGTGTGGAGGAAGATCCTACATAACAAACAAGCATATGTCCCACTTCCCCGCAACATTCCGTCTCGAGTTGCAGTTCGAGCTCCGAGTACAAGTACTAAACTTGTGCGTGCGAAGCAATCCTGCCATCGGCATTGTCCATTGTTCCACCTGAACAGAAGCACTTGGCCTTTTAATCAACTGTTCCTAAGAGGACGAAAAAGATCCAACCGCCCTGTCAAACGCGCTTCACACATGCTCCTAGCACATGCACCCGCCGCTCCAGGCATCTTCAACTTCCTAGTCTGTGATCCTGAACCAAGTTCTCTTTAAACCAAGGAACAACACATCGTCCAAACTTACATGTCCCCTCGGTTCATTCAGGTTCCGTGCGACTGTCTTCCATCCTCTGGACACGAGCGCCCGGGTCAACAGCTGGTTCATGTTCCTCTGCTTCCAATCCTGCCACACATTCCTGGTCCCGGTCTAAGCTTCCTGGCCCTGGTCCATGGTCCATCCGTGGTCCATTCCCAGTCCATGGACCATGGACCAGGGCCAGGAAGTTTAGACCGGGACCAGGGCCAGGAAGCTCAGACCAGGTCCATGGTCCATGGTCCATCGGTGGTCCATTCCCTGTCCATGGACCATGGACCAGGGCCAGGAAGCTTAGACCGGGACCAGGGCCAGGAAGCTT